ATGACAAATTAAACCTTCCATATAGAAATTTACTACAATTGGAGATGCTGTTGATCCTATTGCAACTTCATTTGTCCGACAGTACAGTTTCTCTTTAAAATTAAAATAAATAAATAGATTCTAAACAAAGTTTAAGCATCTTATAATGTCTTTTATTGATTATGAACATTTAGCTAATGTTTCTTGATTGTTTCCTAATGCATATTTCATAATATCAAATGCATCATAAATAGAAATACCACTAAAGAGAGAAATCGCATCAAAAGTAGTAAACAAAGACAAATTCAGAAGTTTGAAAAACTTAGAAATCTGAATGCAGCAACACTCTAGATCAGAGAAGTCAAGAATACAGACCACGATAAGAACACTATGCAATTTGTTCAACAGAGAAACCAATGTACACGAAGCAGCATCACTTAAGAAGGCAGTACATTTGCACATAACTAGAAAACTCCTGGGAGCAATAGAAATAATATCAATCACTGAACCTGTAGTAACCCTTTGACCTGATGATGAAGATAATTAATTGAGTCAGAAGGTTGGATGTATCATGTTGAATGAAGAGTAGTCAACCTTAAATTCGTCGGAAGACAAACGTCATGCATTGCAAGCTTTGAGGTCGTACAAATCTATTGTCATAACTAAAGATGACAAAGGCACTGTGACTGTGAAAGCTTCGGAACACATCGAATCAGGTACATACGCACTAATGCCAATTAAGAAAGGGTCTCGTACTATTGCACTGGTAAAAGATAAGAGGATTGAGAACAAATATGCATATTAATACAGTTTTAACCACATTAAAAGTCGGCTGAGTCAGCGGACAATAAACGGTCCTGATTTGTTGGAGACTGGTCCAAGGTTAGACAGTCAGAAGAAAAGTTGTCCAATGAAACTATTACATGACCACAACGTAAACTAAATCTGAATTTGAGGAATAAACGCTGCTACTTCTCAAGCTACTGACCTAAAATGCTGATTTAAATTTTTGGCCACTTCCTATCAATTCACACACGCCACTATGGACAAAATAAAAGCAGAGGTGTGTAGTCCACTAAGAGAATTGAAACCAGTACCGCCAACCAGATTTCATTTTCTCTTCACATGATTCTCCTCCACGTTACATTGGTGTTGACAATTCGAATGTTGATCCATTCACTAACCATTACAAAAATAGTGAATGCCTATCTTGCTTTCCCGATCTTGGCTGGATTCGACATCCACATCTGTGCCATGCTGGGGAGGTAATTGAAAGGGAAGGCCTACATTAGGTTTCTCTCAATGGTGCTAATTGGTGTTTACCGACAGTCGGATATCAACGTGTCTAAAAAGACCAAAATACTACAGATTCCGATGATATGAATATATCTTAGAAAGTTAAAATTAACACAAACTACAACACATTCACTCCAGTTACTAAACATCAGTAACATTAGGAACTGTATACTGAATTTTTATTTTCCGAAGATACCTACAATCTCGCAGCAACTATTGGCATTTCCATGGATATTCGACAATGAGCCGCATTTATTGTCTGAGGACTAACAATACTACTTGACTTGACATAAATCTGGAGGTCAAGCAGGACCTAGTAGTTTGAAGTCAAACACCAACTGAACCAATGAGCTAAAGCTTCGGACACCTAACCAAACATATTTGACCTATTATGTAGTGAATGTCAGTCATAACAGTTACTAATAGCATAGGTGGTGAAACGGTCGAATGTTTACCAGCCTCACCAGAAGGCAGGGCCCAACCCCCGGATAATGTGCTCTGGAAGCCTCGTCTAGTTTGCTAAACGGCAGTAACCTGAAAAAAGAGGTCAGACGAAGGGCTAGCAACCCCTCTCTGTAAGGACGAAAGCGCCACCAAAACTTCGAAGTTTGGAGTCCTATCCACTACTAGGAACCAAAGGAATGAAATGAGAAATGGTAAAAGTTATGAAGTGACAAGAAAAATGACTTTGAAAAAAACAGCAAAATTTAAAACTAAAACTACATTCAGCTGAGTATTTATTCCATCGGAAAATCACTGTAATAAAAAATATATAAATTTAATATTTTTTGAAGAAAAGGCAATATGTAAGAATTTACCTTGGTCCTAATTGTAAATGTTTCTCTGTTAGCGGTACAAACATAACTTCCTTAAGTTTTGTACGCTGTAATGAACCATTTGGTAAATGATCAATTTGAACCAGAACTTGATATTCACCTGGTGGTCCTTCGGGACAAATGAGACGACCACCAACTTTTAATTGTTTTATTAACTTGACAAAACAAATAAACAAGCAAAGTTGATTACAACAAAATCAAAAGTATGAGAAAATGTGTTATGACTATTTTAACAATCGGACAAATACTGAGAGCAAAGTTAAACAGTAGCGTCCCAAGGGATTCGAACGCACGACTGACCTTGAGCCGACCATCAACCATAAAAAATAATTGGTTTTCACACAAAAAATAACGTGCGTCGGTGGCACAGTGGTTAGGACTCTCGCCGATCACGCACATGGTCCGGAGTTCGATTTTCTGCCGACGCACAACTGATACCTATGGTCGGCCTACAAAATTTGGGCTACCGATATCACATGCTGAAAATTCCATACCTGTACCAAAAATACGGTGTGGAATCAAGCTGTAATCAAAAATAAAAAAGGAAACGCATGGAAACACATTAAATAGGGTATCTTTCTCTGACATGACTTAAAAACCGATAATCCTCATTATAACTGAAACGTACTTTTAAGATAGACCAGATTCTGTACACATATATATTCACCGAAGTGACTAAAGGGGGCTCTTTTCGTGACCCGTTTATCACACCTCTATCCTGTTTCTAAGTCCTTAACAAAAGCCGTCGGTTGAATCACTACGGTTTCCAGTAGAAGGATCAATGACTACTTAGCAGGAAAATGTGGATAATGACAAATAAAAATAAGTAATTCCAACTTTAAATCTATTCTTAACTGTAACCCTCTAACTGTGATCCTAATCCTAATGACCTATTAGCACACTATCCAAACAGAACTCAAAAACGTGATCCGGGTGAAATTCATTCTTCAATCGGTGAATAGCGTTCATATTTGGAGGATGATAGTGACAGGTGTCTTTAACTAACAACTAACCTGCGTCCAAGGTCATTGGGGCATTCGCACCCCTGGGACGCTATTGTTTAACTTCGCCATATTGAGATCAGTAGAGAGAAGTTAGACGTGCTAGTATACAACAGCCAGCCATTTGCACTGTAGGGGGGAATGAACCGCAGCTGTTGTTCTGTGTGAGCACTACTAGTGACACTCTGTCTGTCTTTCTTTCCAAAGCTGGACAGGTGGAGTGGAATTCGAACCCATAGCTCACTGGGGTTGGAAGTCGGATATTTAAACCAACTAACCTACAGCTCCCATAAGGTCACCATACAGATTATCTGTCTGATAAACAGGACTAACTGGCTGAGTTTAAACACAGAAATTTGCACAGAAGTGCAGCAGTTTCAGTTGCCACACTACTCCATATAATAAAGGACACTTTAATGAAAACCAAGTGACAATTATGCTTTATCATATGTCGTACAACACATGAAATTACAAACGCATTATATATATATATATACGGTTGTACAGCTTGATAATAAATTCGTTGGAAGGAGTCTCTTAGCTGCATATTGTGTTATTAATTGTGCAAGGGGGAATTATCAAAGTATAGACCGTATTATTTATTAACAGTTGACGTTTCGAGGGCAATATTACTTACAATCTTATCAAGGTGTGCACATAACCTCTTTCAGATTTTATACAAAGAGTAGTACCACTATTTCTTATCCCGTGATTTTATGGGTAATACTGTGGTGAGAGCTGTCTACTAGCCAAATTGGTAGACAGTAATTTACGTCAATATTTACGTTCCCAAAATTTGTCGTGAGAAACAACCAATCGGAAGACTGTGTTTGTTTGTTTACGTATCCATAATAATGTACATGAAAACATATATAAATATGCGTTGATTTCCTTAATAAATGATCTGTTGCCTGACTCTTGCCTTCTGTCGTTACAATACTATATTTTCCATGTTTGGTATTGGTGAGTGTTAGCAGTTGCTCCTTCACGACCATAAACGACATGGTACTGCTGCCTAGGGGTGGGTAGACGACTTCGGTCTTCTTCTCGAAATGTTTAGCTACTTTCCAAGTTAGCAGTGAATAACACCCTGAACCAATCACGAAAAAAACACGCTGTTGGGTTCGACTATTGCACAGACAGATGACTTCATCACCATGAGTATGATAAGACAAGTAATGCATACATACTTTAATGTTCTGTGCAAAACATTCTTTACAATCTATGAAGAGTGCTCAGTTTTTTATGAGTATTTGTGGTGAGGCTCAAATCTAACGTGATAGAATACACTGGTATTCTATGTAAATACATAAAAGAAGCAAACTTCTGTTCGATTTTTTATGGAATCATTGAAAATGTGAAAGATAAAGTAGCTTAATGTGTAAGTCACCATGTGATCTGATGGATTTGTGATGGTATCACTCTTCGACAGTCAGCGTTCTCTGGATGCATCTGTGATGTTGTGTGCTCCATTGGACTAAGCGTTTGATCTTTATCAACTCACCAGTGAGACACGAGCTTAAAGGTAACTAAATCTATCGAGATTTCAGTAGTCAATTAGTATCATTCTTCCGAATACGCTAAGTATGTTCTATGCCAAACTGATGAATATAATTAGGAAGTTCGTTTGTTCATTTCAGCTAAGTTACCGGAGCAAATCTTTCAAGCAAGTCCAGTCTATAAGTCACACATATCTCATGTGAAGACTGATTGCAGACAGCTTGCAGGTCAAACTGGAGTAGGTAGAACGGGACTAAAACCCTACAGTCACTGGCTGAAAATCGAGTGCTTAAGACAGACAATAAGACATGTCTCCACAATAAAGTCAGTAAAAAAATTGAAAAATTATGAATTTTACGTAGCTAGAGAAAAATACACACGAACTCACGGCATCAGGAATAGTTAGAGCTGCAGCACCAACATGAATAGCATTATAAAGGGCATCCTCTGGCCAACCTTGACGACCATCACCAGTTACAAGTTTTAATTGTTCTCCCAATTTTATGCCAGCTGATTGAGCTTCTTTACTATGATTTATCCAACTTCTAGCATTTTCCAATGCAAATTCAGTTAACTCATCAATATGTTCAACGCCTACTGCAACACCTTTGGGGCTCACCTTTAAATATATAGACAAAAGGGAAGTATCAAGTTACATGATGCTTTGTTAAGTAAGTATCATGAAGGTGTGGGTTCATTTATAACGCTAAGAGAAAGAAAATGAGTAAAAGCAACGAACTGTGAACACAAACACTTTTAAAGGAGAGAAAAAATTATGCAAAAGAGTCCCTTCGCTAAAAATTATTCTTAATGTTATTAATATTCCCCTAGGTTTCGAGTGGAACATACGGATTCAACAGAACATCTCCTTTCCACTGTGTTCTTTGCAGTTGTCCTTAGCTGGTACCACGGTTGCCTATAAGCTCTCATCTCCTCACACAATCTTCTCCACGTCAACCTCGGATCCACGCCCAACTCGTCGTTTCCGATTCGGGTTTCACTAAAGAGACTGGAGCGCGATGTGACTCAAAGATTCCAGTCAAGTGTCTCATTCACCTCCACTTGGGCTTATTTTAGGACTGTGGGTTATTGGTTGGTTCGTTCCCAGAGTTCCCTGTTGCTAATCCTTTTTGGCTATCTAATCTTTAACATGGAGCGAGGGCAGCTGTTCGCAATGCTATTGTTGATATGCCAAGTCTCTTAACCATATAGAAGCACTGACTTGACATTAGTGTCGAAAATCCCTATCCTATTTCAATAGCTATATCTTCAATATTCCTGTGATTTTAGGAAACAAAAGTAATTGAAGTGATCGGAAACAAGTAAAGATGACTTGTACTGAATTAAAATAGAAATATTTACAAACAGACACACAGATACGTGTCAGAAACCTACGCAAAAGTGTATCATTTCAGGTTGCCATAAAAAGAAGCATTACACAAAAGGATTAGGGAAAAGTGTAATGCTACGGCAAT